TTCTGTGATGCAAAGAGAAACAACACATTTCATATGAACTCTGTGTGCTCCCCTGCAGCCCTAGGAGGAGAAGAACAGGTGCGCTAGTCCTCTGACCCTCCTCACCTCTTCCAGGTGGGAGAGTGAAAGGGGTGTCTTGGGGTCTGCAGGAGAAGACTGCACCTGGGATCTCCTCAGGCAGCCTGCATTGCTCATTATCATCACCCCGAAAGGCTGCCAGGAGAGGTTTGGCAGTCTCCACCCTTGGAGGTTTTCCAGACCCAACCAGACAGAGCCCTGAGTAACCCAGTCTGATCTCAGAGCTGACCCTGCTTGAGCAGGGGCTGGACTGGAGACCTCCTGGGTCTCTTCCAACCTCAACTCTTCTCTGACCCTATGAAACAAGCTGTGTTTTGAAAGTATACAGAAGAGATTTTTGAGAAACCTAGGTGCTATGTTCATAAACTTTTAGTGGGAAACACAAGGCTTGAGTCAGACCTGGTCTGCACTGTCACACACTCAGAGTAACACCACTGAAGCGATCTGCAGCATCCACTTGGTACCCAGATACTGTTTGGACTTCATGTTGAATTACGTGGCAAAGTGGTCATGCTAAAGAAGAGCAGCTTTTCAGTGATTTACAGCTGATTGCTCGAGAGTTTGGAAGGGCGGTTCAGGGTTCATTTGTAACTGCAGAGGTCATGCTGTGGTGCTCCGAGTCAGGAGGCAAAACATAAATTGCTTGGAGAGGATTTGATTTGATACCCCCACCACTGTCTGTCCACACGCAGCGGCTGCGTGAGCGTGGGCTTTGGCAGCCTCTCCCAGCAGCACTTGAACCTCACCGGAGGTGACTGAGCGAGGACCCACTTGACGGAGGAGCGTTCACCAGGGCACTAACAACATCGCTGTTGCAGGGCTGGAGCTTTTATCTTATCCTAGAGACCCTTGCTCATCAGCCCAAAAATCAGGCACATCACCTTGGTAGTATTAGGGAGGAGCAAATTTGGAGATTTGAATGATCTTATATTTAAGCAGGGCGGCATGGCAGTAAGACAAGCTGTGTACTTCAGGGAAAAGTACAGTTTAGGTTTCCTCATTGGGTTTCCTCCTTTCCAGGGAAAGAAGCAGCGCAGAATATGTACTAGCATTATAACACACTGTAGCATCTCTTT